TATAATTTAAAAATTATATAATTTACAGAGTTTTGTGATATATCTTGAATAAGTTATTTGAAATGTTTCTAATTTCTACTTATAGCAACTGGAGGATGGCCTGAGCAGGAAAATCCACATACAACACGCATTAATGCTCTAATTGATTATCATAAGATATTAGCTTCTATAGAGAAACAACAATGCGAAAGGAAGAAATTTCATCCAAAACGTTCTTTTATGCCAGCTGTGAGTTTGACAAAAGCTAATTATACATTTGTTCAAAGATATTTTTCTAACTATTGCTTGTCAATAGCAGACAATGTACAGTTTTACATCCGCATTACTTCGTAAACGTATTGGGCGTCCCTTAAAACCACCAATGCAATCTCAATCGACTGCTCAACCAGTACCATCTGTTGCAACTGAGGAAATAGAAGAATTACCAGGGGATATATTTACAGAACCTTTAGATATAACTAAAGGTAAGAAAACTTGCAATTTTTATAAAATGACAGCATAAATGCGTAGAAATTTCGCCCTAAATATATACATGAATTTGTAGTTACAACATTGGAACAAAGATTACAATACCCAGAAGTACAAGCTGAAAAGATAAACGAGTTGCGTCCTCAGCACAGACAATTTTTAGTCAAAAGATCACAACGCTGCAGAGTGTGTGAACATAACGTCAGCAAATCAGATCTCTGTCCTCAATCTATAAAGTTCAAGATTTTACTAGCGGCATTGTAAGAATTATATTAAGAGATTATTAGTGTTAGTTATGGGATAATTTTGATTTATATCATATAGCCATGTATACATAACAACCAAAATATTGCATTTTTTAAGTTATCATATCCCAGAAGTAAAGATCGTTACTTGTGAACCACTTCGGTCGGGAAAATCAAGTGAATTGCTTTTAAAATTCTGCAACCCAACACAGCATCAGACTCAAATAACTATATTGCCGTTAGATACTTCGTTGTCTACGTCATTTATTAAGGAGAAAGATCTTAAACAGGAAGACACACAGCAAGTAATATCGAACTAAGATTTTATCATACGACATACAGTACATCTTAATAAACAGAGATTTTTTTATAATGATAGGGAAGTGAATCTCCAAATTTATTGCCATCTGCTGTACGGCAGACGCCTGTAACAGAGGATCCTAAGCCAATAAAAATCGTACCGAATGCAGATTTAATATTGCCTCACAGTGCATTGATCCTTCCACCAAGAGATGATGCTGCTGAATATGATGATACCAGCGATAATCATAATTTTCAGGATGATCCAAAGTATGTAAAATATAAAAATAATGTGGGACTATTCTAAATACATGATTTGAATTTTATTATTTACATAACTTTTCTTTTTAGACTCGTAGTATGGCGAAAAGGAAACAAAGCTGTGATTCGTTTACATGTAATTCCGCACGATATTAATGAAAATACTGATGAAAATAGCGAACCAGTTATAGTCGGATTTGTCATGCAACATGGATATGTGAATACTATTGCAGCACTGGAACATAAGTCACCACAAAAAGTGGATGTAAAGGTTAAATTATATCTTAATGTTGGCCAGTTAGTTAACAAAGCATAATTTTTTCATATACGACATATGTCATACATGACACCATATAAATGCTTTATATACTTTTATCAATAGTCAAATTATCATAATATTAAAGATATCTAAATATTGATACTTTATCGTATTATTTTACTGTATTAAGCTTAATATATATATATATATATTTAGTAATACAAAATCTATATATAATAATGTTAAATTAATTTTATAGATTATTTTTTGTATAATTTCTGTAATCACATTCTAAGAGAATGCTTTTCTTATATTAATCTATATAATTGAATCTATGCTTTTATTGTAGTGCAATGATAAAGAATATATAATATACAGGCACTTTTTAAAATTTTGAAAAATATACGTATATGTGCGTGTGTATGTATGTATGTATGTGTGTGTATATATATATATATAAATATAGGAATTAAAGAAAGGCTATATGTTTCATAAATGCACTATTTCTCTCTTTAAATATTTATTGAAAGATAATAAAAGAGATATAGAAAGCCATAATGACTTAGAGCCTACGTCCGCGGCGACCACCTTTCCTACGGGTAGAATCTGAAGGAATAGGAGTCACATCTTCGATACGTCCAATTTTCATGCTCGAACGGGCTAAAGCACGCAAAGCAGATTGTGCACCAGGACCAGGGGTCTTTGTCTTATTACCTCCCGTAGCTCTTAGTTTGATGTGCAGCGCTGTGATACCTAGCGATTTACACTTTTCTGCAACATCCTGCAAAGTATAAAATTATATGTTTCATGTTTTTAAAATTTTTATTAATAATTATTTCATGATTAAAATTATGCTACACATTAAATCTCTTAAATCTCTTCTTGTAATATTACATGAAACATACAATGTAATATTACATGTTTATAAATGTTCTCTTTTATTTTCTTAGAGAAGAGTGCACATAAACACATGTTCTCAATTATCAAAGAATTTGCTTTTCCACAAACATGAACGCTACTTAGATAAGATTTATCATCTAGGTGCTGCCTGAATGTGGATAATATAATATGAAATATTAATTTCTTGACATAATTTAAATACAATAATTAGATCAAATAAGATACCTGAGCTGCAAGCATAGCTGCATAGGGAGAGGCTTCATCACGATCTGCTTTCACCTTCATACCACCAGTAACTCTGGCGATTGTTTCCCTGTATGAATTGAAAACACAACAATATTATAAAATTGCTAAATTTGTACTTCTAGCCACAAAGTATAATGAATATGATCTAACACAGTACGAACCTGCCCGATAAATCGGTGACGTGTACAAATGTATCGTTAAAGCTGGCAAAGATGTGGGCCACTCCAAAAACTACCTCTCCTTCACGAAGTTGCGGTCCAAGAGAAACTTGAACCTCTTCCTTTTGTACTTTTCCTCTTTTTGGCGGCATTTCTAAAGAAATTGTATGTATTCAATTATTAATCATTTATTCATTTTGTTTACTACGAGAACATTTATATAAATAACCGAGATAGATTGTAAGTTTATCATCATGTGCTAAGAAGAAAGTATGCTATTAGTCACGAAAATTCATCCGGCTACATCCGAGCGTTCTACCAGATATAAATCAATTTCAAAGTTGCAACTTATTTATGAATATTTTTTTAACGAATTCAACTTAATATTTTTACTAGATGAATATTTGTTATTAAATATCTGCAAATTATATTTACGTGATCTTGTGATTTCCTGTCAAGTAGGGTTAACACAGGAACCATAAAAGAACGCTTCTAGCATGAACGACACAGTATATACAGTAGCGCAACATGCATGATTGTTTGTCGGACAAGACGGATTGCGCATGCGCGAAATAAAGCATTTAATTACGTTTGATGAAACATCCGATATCCAATCATAGTGTTTGGTAGAAAGAAAGATGTTACTAGTTAGAGTCCCTAGTAATAAATAAATTCTATTGACATGAATACCGTATAAAAGTCTGAAATTCTGAATAAAACACAATCTTTCTTTTTTACTATGCTGTAACATAAAATTTCGTACCAAGAACATTTCTTTTCCTTCAGACATTTTCAAGATATGCAATTTTCCACATTTTTTTTTTATTAAAAAAAGTCAAAGACGCAGAAAATATTTTTATTGGGTTTTATATTTTATATATAAAATAATAATCATTTTTGCATACATATTTATATATAGAAAAAAATACTGTTCTCATATATATAACTTCACTTATACATATATAATTAATCATTAATCGGAATCATCTATAACAATGCAGCGACCGCGAGTTGCTTGTTTTGATTGTGCACTTCTGGAACTCTTAAAAATGTTATAAAATGTAATTATATTCATTATAAATAGACATAGACAAATAGTTCAATAATATATTACTATTGTATTTATACCAGCATTTTCTCAATGGAAGTGTTTCTTTCGTTAGCTTTTCCTCCACCTCGATTTCCTCTGGATCCTCTGCCACCTCTAGAACCTCTACCTCTACCTCTTCCTCTAGTCTTAGTTGTTGAATTTAAATCATCATTGCTATCATTGCTATCATCGCTATCAGTTAGAACTTCAACATTGCGAGACGGTTTAACATTTCTAACACTTGATTGTGTTGGATTGTTTAATGCCCTTAGAACCTATAAAAAAGATTTAGTAAGTAAAAACATGTATGTTATACAATGCAAATAATTATTTCTATGTTATTACATTACTCCGCTCCTGTTGTTCTTCTGAAAGCCTTTTATCGCGGAAATTTATAATTTCTTTACGGATATCTTCCGGTTTCTCACTGCTTTGTGTTTTTACATATTCAATAGTTCTTTTCATTTGATCGCTAGTAAGTGAAATATAAGACACAATTCAGATATAGGTAGAATACAGTTAATTCCGAAAATAAATTATCACTATATAATTACCTTACAATATTTTTAAAAGCATCTGTGTCGCCTCTTTCAACATATCGATTTAACGCTTCATTTAATGCTGTTACAGTCAATACTGTTAATTTATCTTTGTTTTCTTCCATATCAAAATATTTCTTGATTCCTCCTGGTACTGTACTATTCCAATCCTGTCCTATCTACAAAAAAAAAAAAATCTAATCAATATCAAAATATAAAACAAGATCTGTTCAATATATAAACTAAAAGCATTTTTTTACATCTGTTTGGAATAATTCTGTAATATCATCCAAATCATCATTTTCATCATTAAAGATACGTTTTACTTTTTCTCCACTTTTTATTTTACGAAATATAATCATCTCCATTGGATTGGCAACTTCATCACAGTATTTTTGTGCCAAACTAAAAAAGTATACATTTTTTTCTTTGAAGATGCACATAAAGCAGAAAGATATAATAATACAATAGAGTTAATATAATATTCTCAAACCTTAATGTATCAAATTGTTCATTGTCATTATTGTAAAATATTCTTAATCGAATTAAAGGTTGACTCGGTTGATTAGGATATCCTAGAAGATCACATTTTTAATATTAAGTAGTAAAAATATATACGATATTCAACAAAATGATTACCTGTGAGTTGTTCAGCAACTTTAGGTATAAGCTCGTTTTCGATATATTGATCTACATAATGACTTATAGAGTCAGCTAATGAAATACAATCCTGTGCTTTTATGTCATGATCACTAAGAATCATGTTATCAAAGATATATGGTCGAACACTTTTTAATTTTAAACTTCTCATTTTGAACTGAGTCTTATTTACTTTCAAAAGACCCACATGCTTAGGTTTTGATTCACCTTCACACAAAGAGGTGGCAACAGAGCTTCCTAAAAGTTCAAAAATTAATTTACAATGTTTTATATAATTTCTGAAATATTACATTACACAAATATGAGAAAGAAAAATATACAATTTCACCTGGTTGGGAAATATAGTATCCACCTTCGCTTGCTTCAGGGTCAATACGACATTCATGTTCATGACCCCAAATAACTAAATTGAGAAACTTATGTAATTTATTCTCTGGTATATAAGCGTAATCACTATGTTTGACACGATTCTGATGTAAAACAAATATGTTAAATGTTTCTATGTCTTTGGCACGTAACAATTCCACCTGTTTTCATATAAAATTATCATCAATATTAGATGATATAATTGGATAAAGAGATACAATATATATTTGAAGTAAACATACCTTCTCATCTCTATATAATCTAGATAATCTCTGATCATTAATATAACTCAAACCATAAAGTGCAACATGTGTATTATGTTTCTTTAGAATTAATGGGGGTATAACTACACGAGTAAGATCTGTCCATTTCCCAAAGTAATTCACAAGTCCAGTTGCTGATAATATATCCATTGAACCAACAGTACCAAAACCTAATAGATTGCAAAATACATCACATATAAATATTCATCTTAAAGATATAATATATGTGTAAATAGAAATTAAACACAAGCTATATACTTGGATCATCATGATTTCCATGGATAGTAAATACTGGCATTGAGACATTTAAATTGGGATCTTCATAGTTTACATGTTTTTGCGCGCAGTGTCGAAATACCAATTCTGAATCACTCAAAAATTCTAGGTTGCATTCTCTGTATAAAATATGATATACGTATACGTAACATCATTTTGTAATACATTTTTAATTCTTTGTCATTATAACTCATTTCAAATACTACTAACCTAGTACCTAAACAATATTTCCTTAGCAACTCTACACACTTAAGTAACGTAGTTTGCGTTGGTTTAGTATCATGAAATAGATCTCCGCCCAACAAAATAAAATCCACTTCGTTATCTTTGCCATATTTCAATATTTCTTCGAACGTTATGAAACTGTCGTCGGAGTGTCCTCCTTTTAAAAAGCAGATTAATAATGTAATATTAATTACAAATTCACTCTTTATCAAGTTTCTTTAATTGTAATATTATCTTGATGCTGAAAATATACGTCGTAAAAACAAACCTCTCTTTTTACTGTGATCGAAACCAAGGTGAATATCAGTAGCTACTAAAATGTTCATGGTATCTTCCGGATCTACATGCGTACTGGAAGATTCTGCCATCTTTTATACTCGTTATATGAAATGACACTTAAAAATTAATTAGTACTCTAACGATTTTTATTAACCTTTACCTTTTCAGATAACAGTTCGGAATGGCGCGAAATGCGACGGTTGTCAAAAGCAGAAATTTCTATTTGCGATTTAGGGAGCTTTCAGTAAGAAACACATTGTCACATGATTGGCTATCAAATAGAAAAATTTTGCGGGACTTTAAAAATTCTCTATTCGATAGCCAATCGCGTGACATTATATGTAGCTGTGTTTTTTTTACTGGAAAGTTTTCTTGATTGCAATCAAGTTAGTGGCGCCCCTCTGATATGTATCGAGCATCTCCATTCGCTAATTGATAAAGTAAGTATAATAATTATATTTCCGACAGAAATAATTGCAGTCTTTAAAAAAAAAAAAAAAGAAAGAATCGTGAACTGTTATATTGGAAATAAGGTAATTGCAGTCACAATAACGTTACTTAATCACAACGCTGATTAATAATACATCTCTTTCTCTTATACATATAAATAATCAATTCAAGAAATTCGAAAATTCCACGTTATTGTTTAGAGAGCAATGCTCTCCTTGCTTGAACGTAAAGGGAGATAAAAGGGATCCATTTCTTATCTGGTTTCTTTTCAAAGTTGAAAAATGTAACGATTTATTATTTTTTTTAGGTCGAGGGAATATTCAAAAGGTTAACCGCGGACAGAGAAAGCGAGGTGGAACGCGGGAATTTGTCGTCCGCGAAGATAACCGAGAACGGCCGAGGAGCGACCGCGATGAACGGGAGTGAGGGAGAGGGGGGAAAGGGGGAAGCGGACAGCGCCATCTGCCGCTCAGTCGGCAGTCGCAGCAGCGAACGTGCGGGAGGTGGTATACGCTCTCGCCATATTTGTTGTTGTCGTCGATGGGGTAGGCTAGCACAGGAGTTTTCGTTACTCTCTGGCTGGTAGAATCGCGGGTAACGGTGCGCGAAACGTTGGGCGAAACCGACGCCGCGAAGCCCTGACGTGCGGTGACGTTGACGCGAGTTCCGCGATCGGGTCGACGAAGCGCGCGGATCACGGCACGCGCGAGTGCGCGCGCGGCGATGCCTCGAATGTAACAGAGAGAGAGAAACCATCGATGGGGCACTTGACGGCTCCTCAGCTGTCCTACCTACCTACTCGAACGCGCCGTCGCCGTGTGTGTATATGTTTGTGTTTCGTCGCTCGCTCCACAACAGCGATTACGTATAGTTTGCTCGATGACGTTCGTAGTCGCGGTCCTGATAAGAAGCGGGGTGTGAGGCGGTGCACCGCCTGGTGACGGACATTCGGACGCATTCGCACCCGGGGGTAGAGGTAAGCGAAAAGGGTTGGAGTCGCGCGCGAGCGCGCTCCCGATGCGTGTATGTGTGTGTGTGTGTGTGTGTGTGTAAGTGTATATGTATGTTTGTGTGTACAAAAGAGCGCGCGTGTGCGTCCGCGCGTTTCTATAAATATATTTGTATAGGGAGAGCCGCGCGTGAGCTTCTCGCGGGATGGTAGGCGTAAGAAAGAGAGAGAAGGTGGTAAGAGGGGGAGGGAGACGGAGGGGTTGCACGATGTTGGGGTCGTTGCACGTTCTTGGCGCGGGTCTGTCGACCTGCCAAAGTCCTTGCGGTTCATCGCTTCGTCGCGTCATCGATATATCGCGTCTGTCTGTCTGTCTGTCTCTCTCTCTCTCTCTCTCTTTCTTTCTCTTGTTTCGAATTATACATGTTGTGTCGTCTTAATCTAGTCCAACGATTCGCCT